TGTTAGAAAAGCTTCTCAGAAAAGGTGACAGATTAAATCCTGCTCACCGTTTTCATGTTCGTCAAAAGGGCACTGACTCCCACTCACACTGCGGTGACTGACATGTTATATAAATGCAAATTGAGTTAGCAGTGAACTCAGGGGAAATACGGTTAGACACATTTTGACTTTAAACTCATTAACCATATAGGGTTGCTCATTTAATGCAGTGACTCATTTCAACCTCTGTGGTCATTGATCTGAGATTTACAATGTCTTGTTTACTGGAGTCTTAATGTTATTATGTTTTATGACGTGATTGGCAAGTTCATCTGAGTTCAAAGTTTTAAGTAAAAGTCTAAATTTACTCCTTCACTGTGCTCAAATCTTAGACTTTATAAAAGAAGGGAATGCAGCCCTGACTGTGACGTCATGTGTTTGCAATTTGAAGTCCTTATAGTCAACTTTTTGCAGTCAACGCATAGACTTTAAAAATGAATGTTTGAAGCCTGAGTAACATCACCCGTCTGCTCCTGCAGGGGGCGCTGGAGTCCCATCGGTGGCGGTCTCCATGCTGGAAATGCTGTCTCAGGCATGAGCTAATCAGACCTATTTGTTTTTTTTTTAACCAGGCTGTAAACATGTTAATCTCTGCTGTAAAAACAGGCTTTTTAGAATGGGTGTGTATGTGACTTCCTGTGATTCTGCAGCCAGCCTCTAGTGGACACTCGGGGAACTTTAGCATCAGCTTAATGTTTTAAACACCTGAGGTTGCCGCTTGGAAGAAAGTCTGTTTTCATAGAATTTGGAATGTTTTTGCAACCAGTGGAGTCTCCCCCTGCTGGCCAGGATGAAGAATGCAGGCTTAAGGCAGTTCTTCTTTTGCTTTACAAGAGGATAGAGACCTAAAAAAATGCAAGCATAATCAAAATAAAATGTAAGAATTTTGAGCTACTTTCAGTAATGTCTGCTGCTGTTCAGGAGGCGTGTGTGTGTGTGGGCGTGTGTGTATGTGTGTGTGTGTGTGTGTGTGTGTGTGTGTGTGTGTGTGTGTGTGTGTGTGTGTGTGTGTGTGTGTGTGTGCATGAGATGTTTGACTTTGTGTTGAAAACAAGTTCAGTCCATTTAATTGGGTTTCATATTTTCTTTGAAAGAAAAACATCTCAAAGTAAAACTCTGAGTGTCACATGAGGTCAGGGTCCAATTTGCATCCGTTTAGGGAGCGTTTCTCTGAAGAGTTTCTAGAATAAATGTTTAATGATCTGGTACAAAGTCTGTGATCAAAATATGTCGAGTCAAAGAGAAAGAAAAGTGCCACAAATGTGCAATTTTCTCGCTTTTGTATTTGTCATTATTGTGTTCTTCATTCACTCCTGTTATGAGAGAAAAAAACCTTCATCAATTTTTTTTCTGTAAAGAAGGAATCAGGAAGCTTTCAGGCTTTTTAACCTCAGTCAACCCCAAGTGAAAAAAGATCTGACGAAATCCCAATCACACCACAACCTCTTCACTCAATTTTATTTCATGCCGCTGCTCGTTAAAGATTTTTTTAACCAGATATGAAAAAGTTCAGTTTAGTGAACCTTTCATTAAGCGGCACGTTGTAGATGTTTATTTCTGCAAATGTGAGGGTGGGAGATACAAACAAGTTTCTATTCAGTCTTATAATAAAACCAAAATCACACTGGGTTTGACCTCCTCTGTTTAAAGAAGAATTCTCTTTAAGGGTCTGAGAACATGAAGCACACACTGTCCCCTCTTCCCAAAGATTTTGTGGAGCCGATCTGCGAACATGAGAAGAGGAAACAAAGGAGAAAAGAGAGGACGCAGAAGTATCTCAGGAGAACACTAAATATTTCCTTTTTTTTTGTTCCCTGAGGGGCTCCGGAGAAAGCTGCACGGCAGGAGAATAAACGATCTGTTTGTGTTTCTGTTTGTGTGTTTGTTTTACCCGGCAGCGATCTGAGCTGAATATTTACTAAACAATGCAGCACAAATACACATCGAGTCAGACGTGCACTGAGTTTCTGTGTTTCCTCTCTGTGATTCCACAGCTAGAGGATTTTTTTCTTTGTTCTTTTCCTTTTCCAGCTTTGTTTGTGCAAAGCTGGAAAAGGAAAAGATTTCAGAGCTGAGCTTGAGAGTTCATTCTTGACCCTGAAAATAAACTTTTACACTGATATCAGGAAGGTTTTTGTTGCACAACACCAGCAGCTGTTCTTTGCATCCAGACTGGCTTCAAACTCAAGTGTGACTTTGTGTTTATTCTTCTATTTCTTTATTTGATTGAATTGCTTTATAACTTTAACAGCCTTTACAGACCTGCCTGTTGTATTTGCATGTATTGTCTTTGACCTTCTGAGTTTGCATTTTGTTCCTGCTTTTTTAGGCTGCTTGTACAGACTGAATAGCGGGGCGGCTGTGACTCAGTGGTAGAGTCGGTCGTCTCTCAACCGGAGGGTAGAGGGTTTGATCCCCAGCTCCTGCAGCCACATGTCCGATGTGTCCTATAGGGCAAGACACTTAACCTCAAGTTTCTTCTTCTGCTTCGTCCGCAGCGTATAAATGTATGAATGGATGAGTTAATACTGATGGTCTCACTACACAGCAGCCTCTACTATCAGGGTGTGAATGTGTAGGTGTGAAAGAGCTTTGAGTAGTTAGAAGACAAGAAAATAAATATACAAGTTTAAGTTTAAACCATTTTGTTCGATGTTGTCAGATTGGCCTGACTTAAGTTTGTTCCCGTAGCGACAGAAACGTGAATGAATGAAGTAAAAGTGGAACTTTAAATGACTCTTTTCGCAGATTGGGTGACTGTGCAGTTTTTCTCTGTTAACCTGCTGCATTCATGTCCGGTCGTGTTTCTGATGACTCTGAACTAGGAGCTGTAGATCTCCTCCCCACACAGCTCAGCTTCTGGCTCTGCTTGTGCTGCTTTCAATGCACGTGGGAATAATCAAACACACTACTTCACAGCTGAGCAGAAGAGCAGTTGGGGCATGTCACTTGTTGATACTCGTTTGAGTTCGTCCGCGCGGGAAGATTGAACATGTCAAAGCTTTTTTTTTGCAGACTCACACCCCTGTTAGTAATGACAATCGATTTGAATCTGTCCTGACATGATGAGTTAGTAAAAAAAATATTGTTTTTGTTCAGCATCATGTTGATGTCCTATATTTGATCTGAATAAAACCCCATATGCAGAGTTTCCACCCTGATGCCAAAGTTATAATAATCTTTGGTTTAGTTCAGGCTTTATTTTTCTTTCATTTTGACTTTTTGTTTTCAATTCCAATTAATTTTTAATACTGTCCAGTCACCAATGTCTTCCGAAACTGAAACTGACATGTTAATTATAGATGCAAGTGCTGCACATCCAGTAAATGTTTGTATCTCGAGTGTCTATCGGCTTCTATTCAGTGTTGTTTCAAGGTGCGATATTCACGCCCCTGTGACCTCCTTCAATATGAATGATGCAGAGGTGTAATGAAGGGACAAAATGACGGCCCTCTGCACCGCTGTGTGTGTGTCATGTCTGACTATGTGTGTATGCCGAGCCCCCGCTGTTCTGTGCTCTCTTGCACTTTTGCAAAGCCATAAGGCATGTGTTTTCACAGACTAGGACACCAATATTACACAGCTGCTAAAGGTGTAATGACAGCGGGCTGCCCCATGAATAAGGCTTTGTCACTCAGTGATCTTGTGTCAAAGACAAAAACTAAGAACATTTTCTCTGTAGTTTTACTTTAGTCGGTGTTACAAACACACAACACAGTTTCAGTAAGTTATTGTTATTTGGTAAAGCCTCGTTTTTATGATTCTTAATTATTAAAAATGTTTTAACTGCTTAGATTTGGATATTTCGTTAGTTTTTGTAAAAGGAAAAATGTGCAACTTTTTGATCCAGTAGACCAGCAGGAAACCAAAAATAAATTGCTGCTTGGCGACGCCTCTGCTCTCCTGCAGAGACACACCTCCAATCCCTCTCCACTCACCTTCTCATGAAGGAGTTATCAAATAGAACGCACCATAATTAAGCACCATTCAGCACAATCAGCAGACAAAGTCATTGGCTCGAGCTGCAATCACCTGTGTCCTGCATTGTTGTGCTAACCTTAGCACACTTTAGTTAACTCATAGCTTCATATTGCACATAAATTGACACAGAATGACCTTGAAGACACTTATGTGACCTCCATATAAACAGTGAGCATGCTCTTCTTCTTCTCTCTAGTCCTTTTATATAAGCAAGGCCGTCTCGTCCATGTAAACACGACTCCGACAACAGTACAGCTGGCAGGACTCGAGCTTCTCACTCATTGTAGACTGTCATGACTCAGAGACACATTTACACAAAAATAAAGTAGAAACAAAACATATCCTCTGTAAATGTCTCGATGAGTCATGACTGTCTACAATGAGGGAGAAGCTCCAGTCCTGCCAGCTGTGTTGTTGTCGGAGCTGTGTTTACATCATGTTTACATGGACGGGACGGCCTTGTATTAAGCTGAGAAGCTCACTCATTGTAGACAGTCATGACTCAGACATTTACATGGGATATATTTGGTTTCTGCTTTATTTACGTGTAAAATGTTGCACATTCTTCCTTTAAATGATATGCCCACTACGCTCTGCCAATGAAAGGCGTCTGATCCAACCTTCACAACAGGATCCTAAGACGCTGACTAGACTCTTCTCCTCTGTCGCCCCCCGGTGGTGGAATGAACTTCTAAACTCCATGTGATCTGCAGAGTCCCTCTGCACCTTTAAGAAAAAGCTAAAGACCCAGCTCTTTATGAACACCTACAACCTTCATGATGATGGTCTCCATATTATTGATGTTTTCTTAAAGTCTTAAAGGTGCAGAGGGACTCGAATGGAGTTTGTTATGTAATGAACCATCTCATAAGTCGTCGTTATCAAACAAAAACCATCCTCACAACCATCATCATCAATGATTTCTCGTCCGTGGTTGTATTTTCGGACTGTCCAGCAGGTCCGTGAACGCGTCTCGGCGCTCCGCTGCCATATTGTTGTTTCGGTGTCTCCGCAGCTTCAGCAGCTCGTCGGTGTTTGTTTGAGTTCCAGCTGCTCGGTCTCCTGCCTGCGGACTCTGCGGTCTCTGAGGAGGGCAGCCCCTGCTTCAACTGACTCTATCTGGACTAACACAGAGCTTCAAGTCGCTGCTAAAGTGTCCCGAGGACGAGAGGAGCCGTCGGGTGGGTACTTTCTCCTGATTTAAAAGTTGCTCCTGTTGCTCCGCGGGGCTGCTGCTACTTTTTCCCATTCATGCTAACAGCCGCTAACTGGTCGACTGATCGCAACCAAAACTACCATTTCACCTTCACAAAGTTACAAACTGGAATATAATACAGCGGGATGAACCGCAGAGTAAACCACAGGGAGGATTAATTCAGTTTGCTACGTGACAAATGAGCCGTGTTTACGTTGGCAGCTAACTTCTATGCTAGCATGCTAACTTTGCCCATTGGCACCACTTTGACAGACTCTGAAATAACTTTAAAAACTTATTTTTGAGGAAACTTTGCGGGCTGAAAAAAGTGCAGAAATGTGAAAGGGTTTAGACTCAGGGGTAGTTTACGTCCCTGTCACGTGATGGCACTTCAATCCTGTGGGATAAAGTCATTGTGGTTTATTTATTTTTGGCAGGTTTGGTGAGCCTCAGCTTTCTGTGACATTAGATTCAAGTTTGATTTACTGCAAACTTTCCAGTTAGATAAGTCTGGCTTTACCCAAACCCTCCTGTAGGAGTCTGACATTGTGCAGGATTAGATTTAGAAATATTTCCATACTTTTGCATACAATTTTTTTTAACTATAAAAAGTAAATCTAGTGTAAATCCTAAGTCCAGGGGTGTGTCCAGACCTGTTGAGTTGGGGGGCCCAGCTGGGGAACTGGTTTAAGCAGGGGTGGGTTGAAGTTTGAGCACAAACATACAAATTAATTGCAATTTTCTGTGAATAAATTCTTTATAAAAAGCCGATCTTTGTTAAGGATTTTGTTGTGGCGCCTGGGGTGGCCCATTTGATTTTAAGGGGGGGTCCATGCCTGTTACGTACCCGTCTAGGGGGGCAGGTTTGTAACATAAAACCCCGGAAAGTCACTTCCCCCGGTCCCCAAAAACCAAAGGCAAAAATTAATTTGATTTAACAAGAATTTATTTACCTCACAAATTCAAACAAAGAACAATCTGTAAACTTAAACACGAGACAAAAATGAGCACAAAAGAAAAAAGGTAATAAACTGCTTCTCAAACAAAAGATTTACTCAAACAAGAAAAACACAATTCAGAGCTGACGAAAAACTTAAAGAACAAGGTTTTAACAATGATGTGGAGGCTGAGGAATAACAAGCTGCTGCGGTCAGTTAACACGCGCCGCTCCTCCTGAGGATCCCAGCAGGCCTTATAGAAGTGACCCGACTCCCCAACCAATGACGGCGGCGTCCTCCCTCCAGCTGATTGACTCCTCCAACCAAACCAATCTTGTTTTGCGGACTTTCAAGCAGAAACAGCGTTGAGATTTCTTTGTGTATTGCTGCTTCTCCGTTCACTTTCTCCCCGTCCACATCCCCGCTGGTGGCTGCGTGACAGCCTGCTGTAAACTCAGTCAGTGTTTCCGTTTGAGAAGCGACACGTGTAAAAACGATGTTTGCACACAGTCAGTTTTTTATGTTGACCGTTTTATCTTCCTTGGCATTTTACTCAACGCTGAAACCGAAACGTCCCCACGAGACTGATTTCAAAAGACGGCGGTGTTTCCTCGTCTAGTGTTGTGGTACTCCAAATCTTCTTGAAGGTCTCGGTCTTGGACAGTGCGGACCCCGGATTTTAGATCAAGACTGCCAAGACTACTATTTTCCCATGTTATTACTTTGAAAAGGGAAAACGCCTCTTTTTAAAAGAACAAATAACTTTATTAATTTGTAGTTTGATTTTTATCCTCCCTTTTTATCCCCGCTTTCCGGTGTTACGGTCTGAGTGAGTGACACGCCGCCTGCACACAAGTTGATGATTTTTCTGTGATAATCATGGTCTTGGTCTCGCCCTGCCTCGGTCTGGGTCTTGTCTCTGGTCTTGTCTCGGTCTCGATCCCTAAATGTCTTGGTCTTGTCTCTGTCTCGGAGCACTCCTGTCTTGGGTGTGTCTTGGTCTCGGTTGGTGTAATCTTGACTACACCGCTGCCTCTCCTCACAGCTCGCCATGTTAAAGTAATGTGTACCCCCCAACTTTAGTACATAGTGATTGGATATTAACTCAGTGGGGAGGCGTTTCTTTATCCCAGCGCGTGGACTCACAGGCACAAAAAAAACGAGCCAATTCAGAGAGAAATACTTTGCATGGAAGCTCGTTCACAAAACCGTAAAAAAATGCAATTTACAATCACATATTGAACCGTTGATGCCGAATAGTTTCATCCCAATTAAACAAGCTGCAGTTTAAAAATAGTTTTTTTTTTTTTGTCCAATCGATTTAAATTGACCATATTTGTAAGGTATCGGTAAATCCGTACAGGCAGCCAATGATCTGTCAGGTGTGCAGTGAGAGTGAATGTGTCGGCCTTCCCCTGGTGAATCTTTTTCTACCACTAATGAGGAAGTTTGCTTCTCCTTCACTTTCCTGAGTCAGGTCTGCTGAGGGGTTACTCTGAGTTACAGTTTCACTCGTCTTCTCTCTCTGAGTAGTCGGTGTTTGTGCCCCTGTTCTTTCACATGTTCATTCCAGTCTGGTTGTTTTAAGCGTATTATCCATTCGTATCCAATTAACACGCTTCTTAGTCCAAGAAAGGAATTCCTCACTGTTTGGATGGATTGAACGCCTACTTTTAGACTTCTAGTCACGCTACACATGTCCTTTATATACAGTGGGTACGGAAAGTATTCAGACCCCTTTACATTTTTCACTCTTTGTTTCATTGCAGCCATTTGCTAAAATCAAAAAAGTTCATTTTATTTCTCATTAATGTACACTCAGCACCCCATCTTCACAGAAAAAAAACAACAAAGTAAGACCCTTTGCTCAGTATTGAGTAGAAGCACCCTTTTGAGCTAGTACAGCCATGAGTCTTCTTGGAATGATGCAACAAGTTTTTCACACCTGGATTTGGGATCCTCTGCCATTCTTCCTTGCAGATCCTCTCCAGTTCTGTCAGGTTGGATGATGAACGTTGGTGGACAGCCATTTTCAGGTCTCTCCAGAGATGCTCAATTGGGTTTAGGTCAGGGCTCTGGCTGGGCCAGTCAAGAATGGTCACAGAGTTGTTCGAAGCCACTCCTTTGTTATTTTAGCTGTGTGCTTAGGGTCATTGTCTTGTTGGAAGGTGAACCTTGCCCAGTCTGAGGTCCTGAGCACTCTGGAAGAGGTTTTCTTCCAGGATATCTCTGTACTTGGCCGCATTCATCTTTCCTTCAATTGCAACCAGTCGTCCTGTCCCTGCAGCTGAAAAACACCCCCATAGCATGATGCTGCCACCACCATGTTTCACTGTTGGGATTGTATTGGGCAGGTGATGAGCAGTGCCTGGTTTTCTCCACACATACCGCTTAGAATTAAAGCCAAAAAGTTCAATCTTGGTCTCATCAGACCAGAGAATCTTCTTCTCATAGTCTGGGAGTCCTTCATGTGTTTTTTGGCAAACTCTATGCAGGCTTTCATATGTCTTGCACTGAGGAGAGGCTTCCATCGGGCCACTCTGCCATAAAGCTCCGACTGGTGGAGGGCTGCAGTGATAGTTGACTTTGTGGAACTTTCTCCCATCTCCCTACTGCATCTCTGGAGCTCAGCCACAGTGATCTTTGGGTTCTTCTTCACCTCTCTCACCAAGGCTCTTCTCCCACGATTGCTCAGTTTGGCTGGACGGCCAGGTCTAGGAAGAGTTCTGGTCGTCCCAAACTTCTTCCATTTAAGGATTATGGAGGCCACTGTGCTCTTAGGAACCTTGAGTGCTGCAGAAATTCTTTTGTAACCTTGACCAGATCTGTGCCTTGCCACAATTCTGTCTCTGAGCTCCTTGGGCAGTTCCTTCGACCTCATGATTCTCATTTGCTCTGACATGCACTGTGAGCTGTAAGGTCTTATATAGACAGGTGTGTGCCTTTCCTAATCAAGTCCAATCAGTTTAATTAAACACAGCTGGACTCCAATGAAGGAGCAGAACCATCTCAAGGAGGATCAGAAGAAATGGACAGCATGTGAGTTAAATATGAGTGTCACAGCAAAGGGTCTGAATACTTATGACCATGTGATATTTCAGTTTTTCTTTTTTAATAAATTTGCAAAAATTTCTACATTTCTGTTTTTTTCTGTCAAGATGGGGTGCTGAGTGTACATTAATGAGAAATAAAATGAACTTTTTTGATTTTAGCAAATGGCTGCAGTGAAACAAAAGTTAAAAATGTAAAGGGTCTGAATACTTTCCGTACCCACTGTATGTGTTTGCCTCTTGTGTTATATATCTTCTCAGCTGTGACAGGTTGTTGTTCCAAAAAAGAAGTTAAAAGTTTGTTTTGCCAGTCATTTGTTGTTGCTGTGGATTAATTAAAAATATTACGACTGCTGTAGGTAGGTCACGGTGGTTTAAAACAGACCAGGTTAATTGTCCTTGTTTATTGTTCTTTTCACCGGTTTACGAAAGACCATAAAATGCAGAAGCATGCCACTTTCAAAAGGAAGTGTAAAAGGATACCGTCTTCAGGTTTCAGCCGTCCAAAACACTGAAACATTACAATTATAAAGGTAAGAACAGAATAAAAGCAGCAAATCTTCAAAATCTGAGAAGCAAGAAATAAAATCTGAGTTATTTAAATTGTAAGATTATTTTATTTTCACTATTGAGATGCAAAAAATAAATATCCAACTTTTCATAAAGAAGACTTCTGAGAGATTTGACTGGCATTTTCACTTCTCATGTCCTCACAAAGTAATCTATAAAGAAAATGATTACTACTTGTGGATATCTTCTTTTATCAGCCATGGATGACGGACCTCTGAAACCTTACTGGCAGTATCGGCATAGTTTGTACCAAGCAGCAGTCTCCGGCCTTAAAGCCAATGCCGAAGTGCTAAATCCTGCAGTTCCTCGAGTGTCCACTAGAGGTTGGCTGCAGAAGCACAGGAAGTCACATACACACCCATTGAAAAAGCCTGTTTTTACAGCAGAGATGAACATGTTTACAGCCTGGTTCAAAACAAACAAACAGG